AAGTAACGTAGTCGATTGCTATAGCAAATATACGTTTGCTTCATCGGCACTCCCACCAAAGAATATGATAGAGCAAAAAAGCCTGACCTTCCTAGAAATTCACTTATACCGAGTGGTTAGCGTGTCAAGCTCCAATCCTGCACTGTCTCGGTTCGACTCCCGCTGAGGGTGTTAATAAGACCGATGCGAGGTCGAAACTGTAGTCCACTCTCGCCTGAATTCAATGGAAACGTCAGCTCAACTCATATCATTGTGGGATAATTCTATTATGACTACTATTACTTCATCACCTTAGACGAAATAGGGTGAATACACCTCATATATATTCATCAGTTTAATTAAAAATAATAGCAATTTCAATCCTGAATGCTATCTATAGTGACAAGATAGGGTGAATACATATTATACCCATCCTATCCGCCTCTATTTTGAGCATTATCCGGGTTATATTGCCTATTTTTTCTCGAATCCTTCGTCTATCAATGTAAATACATTGATACTGGGGTACCTTTAATTACGTTTGTGAAGGCGGGTCGAAGGAATTCGCAGATTGGCCTCACCGGATACCGTAGGAGGGCTGCCGTGGACTCTTGTCTGTTGAATTGTGCGTGCTAGTTTAGTGTTTTTGGCGATCTTTCGTGAATAATTGTTTCTGGCTCTGACGATGTCCGTCACAGGACGGACGAAAGCTCAGCACGGAGTCATCGGGGTGATAAGACGGTGAGCCGAGGTCTTCTTCGCACAATTCAACAGACAAAAGTCCAAGGCAACCCTCCTTCGATATTTGGTGAGGCCTATTAACGAATCACTTCAACCCGCCTTCTCAAACGAAATGAAAGGTACGCCAGTATCAACCGTTTATTCTTATTCTAGATTTACTTGAGCATATATTAAAGTTTCGCCATTTCTTTGCTTTACGACTATAACTCGGACACTGGCACTAAGGAGAAGTTTTATGCTTTACTAATTAACACAATCGAGGTATACACGCAACCTCGACGTGTCTAGAAGCAATTTTTCCTTCCATTTCCTCCCCTCTTTTTTCTTCTCCCTATTCACTCTGCCCATCTTCTCACTGTCCTCCCCCAACTAATTCTCCTCCTCACTGATTCTACTTCTCTCATTTATTCTCCTCCCCTACACTCATTCTGCCCCCTGAATAAACACACTTGTATTTTCAGAAGGACTATGGGTTTTTCAGTTTAGGAAGTCGTAAACTTTACATAGTTCGAAAAAGAACAGATGCTTCTCAGCTTTATTCCCGGAAAATTTTCAAATATTTATTGGCAAACGACTATTATTAAACTGCAAATATGCAGAATATTTATACAGCTTTCGAAAACTATTAGTGTGTTTATTTAGTTAATTTTAGATTACATCTTTGATCCTACCTAGTTATGAAAACTTTTCGGAAGACGAGATACAGTTAACTTTATCTGCAAACGAAGACCTTATTCAACTACCGAACCTTGCATCATGAGAGCAACTAACATTGCTATTCTCCAAAAAATGACGTATTTATTTTCAGGCCTTTTCATTATCCTTAAATCTAAGGCATACTGAATAATTATATATCTTAACCTTCAATTTAATGATTAATTATAAATGATACGTGGAATAACGATGAATTTTTCCGACTAATCTGGTGCACAATATTCGATAAAGGTAAATTCTAAAAAAGATAGCGTATTATTTTATTCCGCCTTTAAGACAACCTGCTCAATGTGACCAGTTCTTTCGAGCAGCCCAATAGTCTTGCCGCTCTGTTCTCCAATTCAACTACCTCTTCACTTCTCGGCCCCAGCAGACATGCTGACAGCGAAATAGCCATTCCAGCTGTTACTACCACCACTTCGACTGCCCTTGCCAGCCATTTTATGGCCTCAGAACTGGAATCCGTACCCCCTTCATTCGGCAGGCCTCTCGGTCCTTTCTCAACAGACGAGACAAGGTTCCCGGTCATGCCGCGGTCACTAAGCCGGGAGGAGCAGCAACAGCAGTTTCATAATGAAAAGCACGTAGATGTCGTAGATGTAATATCGGGATCTTCATCGCGCGCTGCTTGGCCTTCATCGGGAATGCTGCCTGTCTGGCAGACAGTTGACTCTGCTGACCACTTTCAATTCGGTGACAGAACAATTCACATGAACACGGGACGGGAAGAGATTAATGAAGTTATTACCAATGCCGAAGAGGGACGAGGAGCGCAGACAGACAATGATACACAGCCATACGAATGCGGCGACGAGGGTGAAGACTTGGTCTTCCTTTTGCCGGAGCTCAGCCATTCAGCACCAATAGGCTCTACTGCACTTGAGTTCGGCAATTTCGAGACACTGGATCCATCTTCAAGTACTGTTAAACCCTCCACTGGAATTACTTCAAATCTGCTCATGACAGACGGACTTTACCAGCATTCTGGCAATGGTCTTACAGAACAACAAGAGAGCTCAAGGCTCATTCAAAGAACTGAGGCTCCAGTCGGCCGGCTAGCAGGTGCTCACTTGCCTGGCCCTAATAACCCTGGATTTCAACTAAGAGTAAGATTTGATTTTGTATGTGTGTCTAGGATAGATAATCTGATAGATTGGTAGTTGAATTTTCCCAAAATGATATCAATAGATCTTACGCTTCCATTTAATTTCGCATTGCCTTGCTTCCCAAAAGGTATCCTCATCCAGCCTATACTGCAGTTTTGGAAAGCAAGGCTATATGAAATTCAATGGAAGCGTAAGGTCTAACAATATAATTGTGGAAAACTTCATGTATCCATTATTCATCACCTTAACGAAATTGGTGATATATATAATCTACTGTTATAAACGATAGGTGATTTATTATTTTAAACCTTTTACGACAAAACTGTGTATGAATTAGATTGAATTATCTTGGATAATAGATTTAGTTTAATTAAGCGATCTGATCTTGTTTTCGAAACTTTCATGTTTAGCAGACCTGGCTGAGCACAATTTGGCCTTAGTCATCTACTATTATAATTATGATAAGTCATAGAGTTGTACCGTGGACTTGATACATTCCTAAAAGTTTCGTTGTCTTCTCTTTGGCTAGTTATTGCTTGGTGCTAAGAATCACAAGGCTCACTGGCGATGCCGGTGAAACTTTTCGATATTTACCAAGTCCATCGTATGACACTGAATTATCATAACTACTATAGCAGAGGACTTTTGACAAGATGCGTTCAACTAGGTCGCCCTGACAACACAACCAAGTTACGAAAACGTAGTCAAACCATTTATGTGTAGCGAAAGGAGACTCGGACAAAAAAACAAATAATACGACATTGTGGCATGACCCTTCATTTCGAAGGGAAAGTTAGTTGGAAGGAATTCGTGATATGGTCTTACCGGAAACTGAAGGTGGGTTGTCGCGTAAGGAAGACGATTGAATTGTGCGGAGAAGTCCTCAGCTCATCGTCCTGCTACCACGATGAAACTGTGCTAAGCTCTTGTCTGTACAGTGGCAGACATCATCTGAGCAAGATTTCATACTTTATTAAATAGAGCAAGAGAAAAGGTGATCGACTGCAACCCAGTTTTTCTCTTAAATAATACATCATTTTGGTCTTCATATATAAGATTAGTTTAATTAACATTTATTTTTCCATTGCAGACTGAACTTCTTTAGCCTTGCTTTTTTAAGCTTTCCTGTTAATCAGAGTCTGATCAATGGACTTGAATAAATCAGATTTCTCGATCCCATGCATCTACATTTTTTTGCCATTATCTCTTAAGAGCACTCTGTCTCTGAATTTCATATATTTTGTATGCTTACTTAGTTTTTCCTCTGACCTATTTTTACAACTCCTCAAGTAGAAAATAATTCGATAAATTGCTTCCAATAAAGTGCTTACCAAATTTTTATTTTAAATAGGACTGATTGTTTTGTTTTCTCTATTTTCTTAAATTTGACTTGGCTTCGAAACTAAACATTCATAAATCAGCTTTGTTGTGGTGTAGCATAGACGATATATATTTGTCTAAGGATGTTCTATTTAAAAAAATATAGTCATTATTCTCGTACTGTCTAAAAGTGAAATAGCAACACGAGCGATTCTTTTATTTGTCCCCAAGTCATTGCTACTAGTTAATTTTAATTGTTTGAGCCTAAAGCACAGATCTCATTTAGTTCTATAATAAAAAAAGATTTTTAGTAATTCTAATTATTCACTAAAAATATTTGCTTAGCTTTGCGTCACTGTTTAGAGTACCCCAGCCTTATATAGATTAACAAGGAAGTCACGGAGTACCGTGTACAGAAGAAGAAACGTTACAGGCGAGGATCGGCGTTCAGTGACAGAGGCTCATGACGGTACAGTGGCAGTGGCCACGTTCAGATTGGTTTAACGAAGAGTCTCGATGCGTTGACTAGTTGTCTTAGTCACTGAGGTACGTAGTTCTCATGAGTCATGCTCTGAGCGATGTTGGGACATAACTGCTTACTGGTTGGTCGTGGTGAGAGAAGTAACAAAACTGATTGTAAAGTCACTACAACTTAATAT